CCAGAAGCCAGGAAGGTGGAGTGCTCACAGCTGGGCCTCAGTGATGGGCTCTGGGAGGGTGCTCCCCGATCCATCGTGTGACAAAGTGCGGGCCTCCCTTCCCCACTCAGGTGACGAACAGAGTGCAGAGGGGAGCAGGGTCCTGGGTAATCAGATGCGTCGCCTGACCTGAGGGGAGAGAGCGTTGGTGTCAGCAGCCTGACTTCCGTGTTGTGGACGTGGGTAAGAATAGCAGTCGGCTGGGGTCCGGAGCCCCTCGCCCCATGAAGGTGCCCCAGCACGGTACGCAGTGGAAGAGATGGCCACCGGCCTGAGAATCTGCCCTGGACACTGACGCCTGGCACCTAAATTGGGCTTTACTTCTTACTAAAGTTCTGTTCTTCTATTTTTAACCTGCCAGCATAACAAAAGCTACCCCAGATAACCCATTTCCCCCCACGACAAGGCGTGTGTGGGAACGGAGAATGAGAGTGAAGACTCAGTCATACCAGAAGGCAGCTTCTGGGACCCCAGGCGTCCCCATCAATCCCGTTCGCAGGGTCTGTGGTGCTCACGAGGTGGCCGCAGAGCGCAGGCTGTCACCCCTGGTGGGTGGAGGGAAGGGAGTGCTGTCTGACGGTGACCCTGGCCTCGAGGTTATAGAACAGCTCTGCGGACTGGAGCCCCCGTCTGCACCAGGAAGGCCCGCTGTCACAAAATGTGACCTGGTGACAAGCGGGTGTGGTTTTCTTTAAACAACTTGGGTTGAGATGCAGTGTGCTGAGTGCAGTCGCCCTCTTCAAGCAGGCCCTTGATGAGGTCACCCAACCTGCGGCCCCAGCGCTACCATCTGCTTCCTGTCTCTGTGGCGGTGCACCGGGTGCTTGGCCCTTCGTGTCTGGCAGCCTTCTCCGAGCATCAGGTCTCAGGTCCCTCCATGCTGTAGCAGGCGTCAGCGTGGCATTCCCTTTGTGGCCAAATAAACTCCCTTCTGTGGCCCGTCCACGTTTTGTGTATTCGTTCAGCTGTCTTTACCGACCAGCCTCTGGGAATAGTGCTGCTGCGAATGCTCATGAGTTTTGTTGGAGCACCTGTGCAGGTCTTGTGGGTCTGCACCCAGGCCTGGGATGGTCACTGCACACAGTGTGTCCTGTTTGCTCTGACACTTGTGTGCCGTGTCACTTTTTTGCTCGTCCTCTGGCTGCGTCATTCTGGGTGCACCTCCTGCCATGAGTCCTGAATGGTGTGTTCCTGTGGAAGACGAGCATTCCCTTACCTCCCCAGGCATGGAGCACAAGGCCACCCCCCTCCGCCTGCAGCAGGGCAGCTCTGGGCCCCGGGGCAGGGAGCACCAGTCCACCCCCCTCTGCCTGCTGCACTTCCTTCTAGCTACTGTCCTGTAGAGGCTTCATCTCTTTACCCTCCCTTAACCTGGGATACTGTCTTTGCATTTATTTGTCTTAATGACCTGATGTTTTGGGTGAATGCCCTGTGACCCCATTTTGGATCTTCTGTTTCTTCCTGATGACGTTGAGGTCATGGTGCCAGATGTGGACACGGAGATGTCACCGCTATTCAGAGTCCGCGTCTGGACCCCCTGCCCCGGCAGGCTCCTTGTCGGCGCTCAGGTGAGGGCCCTCCCACCTCTGCTGCGTGTGCTGCGTCCCCACACGAAGGCGGCCAGGTGTTCTGCTCCGTCTGGGCTCCTGGGTTTGGCCTGTGCCGTACATCCTCACTGTCTTGGCCTCGCCAGCACGGCCCCCAACTACAGGCGCCCTCCGCTCACTCCCCGCTCCCGTGTGTGCCTGTGCCGGATTCATTCCATGCTCGTTTTGTGTACAGCGCACATGCTTACACCTGTTACCGGAGCCTACACATGGCTTCTTTCAGTAGCTTAGGGTTGTGTCTATGCTCAGGGTGCCTTGGATCTGGCCAGTGAAGACTGTTCAGGTAGGTCCCTGTGCCCGTGTGCTGTGACCCTGCTGTTGTGAGTCTTTTCTTCCTTCTGGCAGAAACCATGTGGCAAGGCTCACTCCCTGTTCTGGCTGCGTCGGCTGCTTATCTGGGGAGCCTGGCTTCCCCTCAGCGGGAGGGCCTGGGTGTTGGGGGCCCCCGGCTGCTTGGGCCCTTTCTGGTCCCTTTGAGCAGATGGAGCCGGGAACATGTGACATGGCTGCGCGCACAGGTTCTCGGTTCAGAGACCTCGGGGTTTGCTGGATGCCCACGGCTCCATCCTCCCTGCCCCTTTTCTGCCCTTCGCCCTCACGTGTCGCATCTCCCACTGTGCACTCGAGAACCGCTCTGGGTCTGTTGGCGAACATACTCAATCCATAACACGTGTGAAAGTTTCAGGGTCGCTTTGCCCATACTGCATCGGAAGACGAGGGGACACGCACCAGTGAGGTTGTAGTGACCTGAGTGCCCCCAGCCTTGCAAAGTGTGCAGGGTCCCGGAAGTGTCATCAGCATGGTCACGGGTTAATGATTAAACACAAAGGGAACTAGGAAGTCACATGCGGTGCTTGCGACAGACGGCTCTGCTTGCCAGGGCTCCCGGTGGGTCTGTAGAGCACGGGTGCCCAGACAGCAGGGTCTCCAGGAGACACCAAGGCAGTCAGTCGCCTTGATGGTATCTTGTGGCGTTCATGATGGAGTACTTAAATCAGCCTCTGCTCTCAGGCAAATGCTTTCGGAAAGGGACTGAATTTGAAAGGGGCCGGGTGGGCGGTGCCCAGAGATGCCTGGGCCTGCCGTCCCCGTGCCGTCTGCCTCCCTGGCATGGGCGCCCATCTAGGGCCTCTGCCTCGAAAGAGGCTCCTCAGGCCGCCTGTCCCGCCTCTGGCGCAGTGAGGGTTCCCTCTCGTCAAGTCAGGACCTCCACCTTGCACCTGCCCTTCTTGGGACTGTCTAGTGGGCCCTCAGCAGTTCTGTGCCAGCCTCCGTGTCTGGACACAGGCTTCAAGAGGTTACAGGTGGGAGCCGTGTCTGACCCTAGTGGACCCGTGCCTCGGTCAGGCGCCAGCTGCAAAAGACCTGCTGAGGGGCCGCTCAGGAGCAGAAGATGACTTGTGGGCGCAGGGCCTACCTTCCCAGCTTTCACAGGGGTGTGTGCCATGAGGGTGGAAGCCCCCGTGGGGGTCCCCACCTTGATCAATGCATTGGGGCTTCGGTCAGACACAGCTCCTGCCCAGTGATCTTGGGAAGGGGTCTCCTTTCTGCTCTTTCCTGCCCAGAACATTCCGTCTGGAAAGGGTTGAGCCTGTGACCTTGGTTGACCTCTTGATCCTCGGGTACCATAGAGGAATGGATGTGGGTTTTGGAGACGTGAGCTGGGGGTCAGGTCCTGGCTACATCGTTACCCTTCAAGGTTTCGAGCAGTTCGGCACTCTATCCGAGTAACGGGGACAGTGTGTTCCTCATGGGTTTACTAACATGTCGGTCAACGCACCCCAAAGAGCATGGGTGTCCAGGCCCTGTGCATTTTCAGGTGCCCTGGCCTCACCCCCTTCATGGTGGGAACAGCGTGTATTCGACGAGCCCCTGGCATGTTGTCAGACGCTGCAGGCTGTGTCCCCGTCTGCACCTTGGCCCTGCGCTTGGGAATGGTCAACACTGGGGTCAGAGAGGGGACCTGGTAACAAGCGGGGATTGTGGGCGGGTGCTCGGGCGGGGTCAGAGCCCACCCCGAGGAGTTGCTCACGGGGCGCTCTGAGGATGCCTGAGGGAGAACGTCTTAGGCCCTCTCCTGGCTCTCGGGGAACGAGGTGCCTCAACACACCGTCTGCACCTCTGTAGACTTGTGACCCTTGGGGGGTCTAAGGGGGCGGAGGTCGGAGAGAGGACTCTTCCCTGGAACAGACTCCGGCATTTCAGTCACATGCTCACCCTCCTCGCGGCTGGGCGGGTGTGGTGTGACCGCGCCGTAGGCCGGCTCCGTGGGAGCCCCATGCTGCTGCTCCCCACGCCGGACCTGCTCAGCCATGGGAACTGTCCCCAGCGCTCACTTAGTCTTGACCTGCAGCTGGGGTGTTTATTTACAAAGCGAGACTTAAGTGGGATGTGGGTGCTGCAGATGGCATTTCTGCAGGGTCACAGTCGGCCACTGAAAATATTTACTTGGGAGGGACACTCTCTCTCTGATTTGCACCCATAAAAACCACTTAAACTACAGATGGCTCATTTTCCTGTTACCTGAACATGATCTCCCTTCTTCTTCAGGAGGCCTTGCCTTTGCCTGTGTGAAGATCCTTGAGGCCCCACTTTTCTGGGGAGGTGGGCCCCCTGAGTGGAGTGTGTGGGGTTCACTTTGGTCCCGGCTTAGCCTGCATTGGAGGCTGGGGCCCCTCTAGCCTCAGCGCACATTGAAGGCTAGGGGCCCCCAACCACAGCCCGCATCGGAGGATGGGGCCCTCAACCTCAGCCTGCACTGGAGGCCAAGGACCCCCAGCCTCAGCCTACATTGGAGGCCTGCGGTTCCCAGTCGTAGTCTACATCAGAGGCCAGTATCCCCAGCCCTCATTGGAAGATGGGGCCCCCCCAGCTAGCCCACTTGGAGGCCAGGGCTCCCCAGGCAGCATGGACGGACAGGGCCCGTCTGGCCTCAGCCACATTTAAAGGCGGGGACCCCAGCTTGTGTGCATCTGAGCACAGGACCCCAGGCTGGCCTGTATCAGAGGACGGGAAACCGCCCCCCACAGGGCTGCCTCCTGAGTACCCTGAGCTACTGCAGGTGCCATGCCTGGTGCTGATAGTACAGAACCTTCTGGAAGAGCCAGGGCATGTGGTGCCTCTGCAGTAGGGCTCACTTTGGCTTCTAGAGGTTGTACAGGAGAGCATCAGACATCGTAGAGAAGCCAGGTGTGTGTGGGTGACTGGACGTAGGTGCTGGCATCGTGAGGGGGCTCTGGGTGGACGGGGCTGGGTGGTATGTTCTTGTGAGGAAAGACCAATTCTGCTGCCGGGGACGGGCGCTCCCCCCCCCCCCCCCCCCCCCCCCCCGGAACAACCTAAGGATCAGCATGTTACTATGTTTTATTGATAAAGGTTTTCTCGTGTACGTTTTTGGGAGAACTGTTTACAGTTCCTTCCTTTTCGCCCCCACCATTGTTCTCAGACGCCAGCATTTTACCACGCGTGCCACCTCCCCCCCAACAGCCTGCACCCTTGTGGTCTCAGTCCACGGTGGCGTGGGTGCCAATAAGACCACACTTGGCAGTAGGCCAGCGGCTCAGACGGCATGGGGTCTCTTGGTTGAAGAAGAACCTTCCGTCTCAGGCAGCATGGGTGCTCGGAGTCGTTCAGTTGGGGTCGGTGAGCAGCTGTTCTGAGCGGGGTGCCGGGGAGAAGCACATCTCCGCTCCTCTCTCACCTGAGCACATGTGTTGGTACCACAAGGAAGCCACAGACATGGAGAACAGACCACACCGTCCAAGTCAGATCTGCTTGGTGTGTTCTGTCCATACTTCATTTTTCCCAAGGATGGCAGATTTATGGGCAGATTGACCTCCGAACTGAGGTATTTCTTCCAAAGCGTCCCCGCCTTTTTGCTTTCATTGGCCAGCCTGTGAAGCATCTTCTGCTACAGGACACCATGTGTGCAGAGCGGAGCGTGAGCCCATGCTGGTCCCCGTGCCCATTCGCCAATGCCATGGCCTGCGGCAGTGGGCAGGGGTGGGAGCCCCAGTGCCACGCACATGGCCCAAAGTCAAGGTGCCTGGCGGGGAGGGCTCCTCAGAGCCCGCGTGTGCCCGCAGCTGGGGCGCAGACGGTCCAGGACATTCCATCAGGGGTCAGTGTGTGGTGCGGCCCAGCCCTTCCTTCGCCTTGCCGTGCGGGTAACAGCGTTTGGTCTCTGCTGAGCCCAGCTGACTACACCGCACTGCTGAACTTCCCATCTGACTGTTCAGTGCTGTCCGGAATGACCGCCTTCAGGGCGGCGTGGCAGAAGCGGTTCAGGGCTGACACGTTGGTTTTCTGCTCAATGTACAGCCTCAGTTTGTCCCTAAAGGTCTCCCCCAGAAAGCTGTAGATGAGGGGGTTTAGGCAGCTGTTGGAGAAAGCTGCCAGGTTGACGATGTGGCCGGTCAGGGGGTAGGCATGGCGGAAGGACTGTCTGCAGGGAGCGGCTCCTGGCGGTGTGCGCTGCAGCAGGTGGACGCTGATGAACACGTTCTCCGGCAGCCAGCAGATGAAGAAGACGAGCACCACGGCCAAGATCATGCGGAGCGCCTTCTGCCGCCGCGGGCGCAGGCCTCGGTGCTTGTGCGCCGTGACGAGGACCCGGACAATGAGTGAGTAGCACAGGCCGATGATGGCAAAGGGGACGAGGAAGCCCAGGGTGACCTCGAGCCACTGTATCTCCTTGACGTCCGCGAAGCAGAAGCAGACCTCCTCCGTGTGCTGTAGGTGCACTGCGGTGAAGGGCACTAGCGTGGCGGACACGGAGGCCATCCAGATGAGGCCGCAGCTCAGCCGGGCATGCTGCTTGGTGCGGAATGGGCCGGAGCGCATGGCCCTGGCCAGCGCCAGGTAGCGGTCAAAGCTCATCCACGTGAGGAAGAAGACGCTGCTGTACATGTTGATCTGCAGGAAGAGGGACATGAAGGTGCAGAGCACCGTGATGTCGTAGTACTGCTCATCCAGGTTGAACACCTCAATAAGGGAGTCGGCCACCAGGATGAGGTCAGCCGCCGCCAGGTTGATGAAGTACAAGTCGGGGATCGTCATCTTGTCCCGGAAGCTGATGTTCACCACCAGTATGAGGATGTTCCCCACGAAGCCGATGGGGAAGAGGAAGATGGTGTACAGGCAGGAGAGAAAGAGCCCAATCACATACTGCTGCTGCTCAGAGAGCTCACCTGTCTGGTTTGCCAGGACGCTGCTGGGGAGCACGTGGGATGCGTTGAGCCCCGGGGGGGTGCCGTTGTAAGCGGTTGGGTGCGTCTCCATGCCAAGGACAGGCGTGGGGGGCGTCTCGGCCATATCCCCGGGTGCACCCCCGTTTGGGTGTGCCCCGTGGCTCACAGGAACCCCACCTGAACCTTAGATCCGTCTCTGGAAAGACAGGTGATGCTCGGTGAAGTGAGCCGGACGTTTGTGAGATCAGAATTCACCCCAGGCAGCCCTGGAGGTGGCGCGGATCTTCTCCGCACGCAGCTGGGCAGGCAGAGACGGTCCTCCATGTCCACACCGTGAGCAGCGCCTCACCCAGCTTCTGGTGGGCGGCGGCTGTTGTGGCCGGGCCCATCCACTGGCGCTCACCACCTGCACACCTGAGAGAAGCAGACAGAAGGGCGAGGAGTCTGTGATTCAAGGCTCTACAGCTCTCTGGCAGGACAGACGCGGCGGCAGGTGGCCACCAGGGGACACGTGGGGCGGTATTTGAGGTCCTAGCGTCTCAGAGATTTGGTTGTCACTGAGCTGAAGGAGAATTAAGTGTAGAAGATGCCCTGTCTTCTGTCCCTAGGGCTCCTGGGCAGCTCAGTCCGAACTGGAGCCTGGACAGTGAGTCATGCTAATGCGCGGTGGACGCCTTTTTAAAAAATAGATAGCAGGCCTATGAAGTAACGCGGCCATTGGGTCTGGAACTCTCAGGAAAAGTACTATCTATCAGCAGAGGAAATCAAATTTATTTCCGTAGCTGTTGGAAAGAGAACAAAGGTGGGAAGGGAAAAACCCAGCTTCTCTAAAGATGACAGACCCAGGACGCCCTGTGGGGACTGGGGCAGAGTCTCTGACCATATGATAGATGGAAGAAGCCTGGGTTTTCCCGCTGCCCTGGGCTTGAGTGCCCCCAAATGAAACTTGCTTTGATATGAACTAAAAGGGAATGTGTAATAAAAATGGTACTTGATTTAGGAAAGAATATTTAGTTAGTGTTTTGATAAATAACTCTGAAACCTAACAAATCTTTGTAATGATGTCTGTCACCTAGAAACTGGGTTTTAAAAAGCCAGGGTCCTTTAGGCTCTGTCGCTGCTACCAGTTCTCAGGTCCGAGTCTGCCCACCACAACCGGGCTCGCCCACTTGGCCCGAGGGTGGGAGGTGTGGGGGCTGCTAGCAGCTGCACTGTCTGGGCCACCACGACTGGGGGGGGCTCCTGGCATTTCGGGGTGGGACCCCCACAGAGGCCTAGAAACCCTGAGGGAGCTGACCTGGCATGTGAAGATGGCCTTGAATGTCTCTTTCGAGGGTTGGTTCTACCCTGTGAGATCGTTAGCAGCCATTTTTGAAGTGCTGCCAAACCAGACGTGACACGTCCTGACCTCCTGCTCACAGGTCTGGCTCTAAAGGAAACCCCGAGAAGCAATGCAGAGCAAGACAAGTCACAGCCTTCTGCTCAGAGAGTATAAACACTTTCCAGAAGGCGTGCTCAGCTGGGGCGGGGAAGCTTGTGTTCGGCATGTCGTCTTCATCTCCAGGACACGGGGCCGGTTTGACTACGCACGTGTCCTTGCTCTCAGATGCTGCCCATAACATTTAAGGCCTCGGTTTGTAACTCTCTTGTAAAAAGCACTCTGCATGCTTGTTAGGCTCTCGATGCGGAAACCCAGGCCGTTTCAGACCGTCTTCAGAGGCAGGCTTACAGGGGAGGGACCCTCAGCACATGACACCCAGGGGCAGGAGTGTCAAAATAGGCTGCGCAGGGAGTGTCCAAGTGAGTCCTGCCCTGCTCTTCCCCGCATGTGAGGCCGTCCATCCTGGACAGCACTCTTACTGCCACCGTGGCGTAATGACAGAACATGGCGCCCGTGTGAAAGTGGACCATGGGTTTCTAAAGATGAGCGTCGGTTCGATCTCGTTTTGGTTTGAGTGTCTACTGTCTGTCCAGTTCTAGAAAACTAAAACCACATTTGGTCAGGTCCACCGGGTGTGGATCCGTGTGAAGGAACACGGTCCATCCGGCCATGTGGCCGGGCAAGCATGCACTCCCCTGGTGGGCCGGTGAACGTCCCCGCACACAGAGCGTCTCCCTGTCCTGACCGGCCCATGACAGCACACCAGGGGCACCATGCTGGGCATGCATCACAGCCTCCCCTCCTGTCCTGCTGTGACTATTAGAGCCAGGTGCGGGCTCGTGTGTGGAGCCTCTGCCCCACAGCCTCTGTGCCCGGTCAGCAGAGCAGCCTTGTGCCCCCATCTGCACCCGGCTGGAGCCGCAGCACGCTGCACCTCAGTCCGTCTCCACCCGGCACCGACCCCAGTGCACAGCCGGGAGCCCGGAACCCAGACTCACCTGCACCTCGGCCTCAGCCGGCCGCCCCAGCCCAGGCCGGCTCTGCACACACCCCTCTCCTGTCCCTGGGGGCCCCCGCTGGCCAGCCTCGGCAGGTGCACTTGCGGCAGGTGCGCTTGCAGCAGGCTGGAGGCACGGCCGACACGCTCCTTTGGCTGGTGGTGCAGATTCTGCACTCGCTTCCTTCCGCTGGAGAACACTGGAACCCTGGTCCTGGAGGGGGGCGCCTGGGGCGCGGGGCTGACCTACCGGAGTGCCCGTCTTCGTCGGCATCATCATCACTGCGGGCTCATCGCTGCGCGCTCAGAGGCTCCACACCAGAGGGCTTTATAGGCTTCCCAGGGCTGCCAGTTGTGCTCTGCTGGCCCGCCTCCTCAGCTGACCGGCTTTAACCATTTATTTGCTGGCTTTTTTTAGCCCACACTGTGGCAATGAGCCTATGCCCACTGCGCATTTTTATGGAAGTTTCCAGATTTAACTGCCTTTCTTCACCCATGGATGCAAATTTTTTTTTAAGTTTAAAAGCATTAAGTAGGTTTTGTGTACCTTTTAGATGTTGACCCAATGTCGCTTACTAGAACTTAAATAGTCTTGCTTTTAAGACTAAACGGTACATTTCCTGAATCTACAGAGCACTGTGCAAATTATACAGAGAATTCAACCTAGGAGTTTCACAAAGGTAGTTGAAGAAAGAAATTTGAAGAAAGAAATTCAATCCCAAGAAGCGGCAGGTATTTGGGGCAAGTACATTAGGAATCAGAGTAGTTTCTCTGCTTTGGGGATGAGCTGCCTCTCAGCAATCCCCTTCCCTTCCTCCTGGAACTACAGTGGCCCTCATGTAGGGGGGGTGGCCTCCATTCCCAGCCCCAGGGCCTGCTGTCTCCCTGTACCCCTGCGGCCTGGAGGAAGGCTGGTGGAGCTGCCCCACCCCCAGGGGTACATGTCAGGTCAGAGGGCCTACAGGGCCTGCGCCAGCTAATGCAGTTGTCACAGACATTAGACATTGGTTGTCGTCGATCTCATACTTTCTTCTTGGTGACTTCTTTCTTTTTAAATGTTTTTGAAGTTGTGAGATTGAAGATTGAGGCTGATCCTACGTACGTTTGGGTGTGAGCGAAGCGGAAGGCGGCAGCTGGCACTGTGGAGGCCAGCGTGTGTTCCTCCCAGATGGGAGAGGCTGCTTTCGGGCTGGAAGCAGAGGTGTCTGGTAGTGGGAAGGTTGTCGGCACTGGGTGCCCCTCTGGTCACCTGCGCTGTGGTGGTCAGGGTGGCTCCCTGCTCAGTTTTGTACGGAGCCTGTTTCACACAAGCTTGAAGGTATTTTCAATGATAATAGTGTCACGTTTTTCAGGTACATGTTTTGGGAAACATACACGTTGCCCGACAGAGAATACTGTGTCAAGTTTTTTGTGGAAAAATCCTAACATCCAGTGTTCTTTCCAGCCGTAGAATTGAGCTGTGATTCTCCTCTGTTAGCTTGTTACAGTTTGGAATGAAATGATGACAACAAGGAGGCCAGTGTGAGCTGAGACCTACTTGGGCCGGCCTCTTACTCGTGCGATTTCAACACTGAAAGTGCCCGAGGACACCATTTTGAAAGAAATGAGTCATGAGAAAGTTACAACTTCCTTTTGAGTTATAAATAAATAAATAAATAAAAACCCAAGCCTTGAAATAGCCAAGACATGTCACGTAAAAATAGCCACTGCCTACTCGCCCCAGCCCGTGGCTTGCTGGCCCGCAGCCCCACTGGGCCCTGTGGGCCGAGGAGGACCTACCAGTGACTCTAGGCATCCCCCAACCCCCCACATTTCCTGCTGAACTCACTGTGTGATGGAGGCTCCTGAGACAGGCCTGCTGATGTGGACGAGGCTGGGCTGCCAGGCCTCCGGGCACCAGGCAGGTAGTCACCTGTCAGCCCTCACAACTAGTTAGCATAAGGGACTATGCTTTTTGGGTTTCAGTCTACTGAACCTGAGCTGGCGTTTGCATGGCCAGGGATAGGAAGCATCTCACAGATGTAATGCATGGAGCCCTCCTGTGAATTTAAAGTCTACCCTTCACTGAGCATTCACGCCAGGCTTGGTTTGCTAAGCACATTGCATCCACTGGTCCACGTAACCCTCGCCAAGCACTGGTGCCACATGCATGGGAAGCCTGAGCTCAGGCATGTTGGCCCCAGGCCTCGGTCTCGCCGATTCTGAGGCCCACGGAGTGCTTCCCATGTGGCCAGTCCCCTGGAACAAGATTGTCTCCGTGCTGCAGGTTTTTCTGTCCATCCCTAGAATAAGATGACAGGGAAATATCAAAGGGAATCGAGTCTAATCAGTTTTTATTTAGTTAAATTTGCAAATGCAGCCTGAAATGAGTAATGTGCAGAGAGCACAGACATACAGTAAAGCCAGGAGGCCTGCCTGGGTGAGGGGACCCCAAGAACGCTCATCCTCACTCCCAGCTGCTCCAGGTCCAGCACTGTGTACCTGCAGCAGTCGAACTTCCCCGTGTCCCCCCATCCCTGCCAGCCCTGTTCTTCTCTGTCAAAGACTTGTGCTCCCTGCCTGAGGAGGGACTCCTAAGGTGAGGCGCGGTGCCACGGAGGGAGCAAGTCCAGTCTCTGACTTGCCAGGTCCCATTTTCTCCCTTGGGAGTCTGCTGCCCCCTGACCCGGGGCGCGTGGGGGCACCATGCATGTGGAGCTAGGTGATGCAGGTCACCCTCTGTCTCTGTCATCTTCGTCCTCCAGCGGGCCCTTCCTTCACCGGGCAGCCTGCCTACCAGACGCCTGCATCATCCTGGGCAGCTGGGCCCCCGTTCCCTTTGGCCGCGCACAGGGAGAGTGTGTGTCCCTCTGATGTATTTGTAGGGCAATCAGTGGGACTCGGCTCACAGCTGGGACCCCAAGCTTCGGAGCCCGTCAGGCTGGGAAGCACAGCCTGGCCGGTGCGCTTCCCACGAAGGGGGGGCAGGGGGCAGGCGGGGCAACACCTTCGTGTGTTTTCTCTGATTGACCTGACTGAGGGGACGCGGGGTGCCCCTCCCCACACCTGGTCGGTAGGGTTCTTTGAGACACTTACTGAGCACTTCCTGAGCCTCATCCTCACACCAGCCCTGAGGCAAGACTGAGGCCTAGAGAGGAGAGGGGACATGAGTGTGGCTGAGGATTGCTGCACACGCCCACCTCAGGGAAGCCCAGGGTCCTGGCCTGCCACTAGCTGGGCTGGCCAAGGGAGGTGTGGGCTGCAAGGAAGCGCAGGAGGCCCACAATGAGTCCGTGGACCTCGGCGGTGGCCCAGTGTCAGGACCTGCCATTCTGGACGAGCAGAGCAGCACCTACCGGGCACCCCCTTCCATTTGAGCTCTGCTCTGCAAACCCAGCCCAGCACCTGTGCCCGCGGGAGTTTGCGTGCCGGCACAGCCGTCCGTGAGACCTGGTGGCAGTCCTCTGCACATGCAAAGGTGTGTGTCCAGACCGAAACGTTCCGAGCAGAACCCATCTGCCCTGAGGCCATGTCATAGAGAAAGATGGCGGGGGCTCCGCAGACCCGCCGCACAGCCTTTTCCCACACCAGAAGGGACATCAAGTGTCCAGGTACCGGCCGGCATCAGGTGCGGCCTCACTCCCTGCTCACCCTCGGCACTTTATGGCAACATAAAGGTGCAGTCCCCATGGTTTCGCCACTGTTGACTTTTTGGACAGCTGGGCACCTCTCGGCCGTTGCCCGGAGCCGTCTGGACGTTTCCTCTAATTCTCTGAGAGCCAGGTGCCACGGGCAGCCAGAGCACGGTGCGTGCGGCTTGCACAAGCACAGGTGGAAGGCGCACACCTGGCTCTGCCCGGGGCTTTGTAGCGGTGGCATGTTCTAGAACGTCTTGCTGGAGACCTGGGTCCTCGGGGAGGCTTGGAGCCGCAGGAAGTGGTTTCTCCCTCTCCCTCCTTCCCCACTCAGTTCTGACTTGTTTTTGTGAAGTCGAGGTTTCGCGTAAGCCTTCTGGGTTAAGACATTTCCCCACTGCTGGAAACCATGGGTCTGCGCGTTCTCTTCCTTCTCTGTGGCTCTTGACGTTTCTCTTGGCTTTGTCCTTGAAAGGCTCCTGCTCTCGGTGTCCTGTCTGTCCCCGGACAAGGGGTGAGTGAATGAGACCCACGTGGCACGTGTGGCAGCCACCCTAACCCCACAGGGCCTGCTGGGGCCTGGGGCACCTTGACGTTCCGGAGGGCTGGCTTCCCCACCTCCTCTCTGGGCAGAGCAGGACCTCGTGGTGTCTCAGATGTTGGGCCTCTTTAAACGATTTGTTTAAAGAAAGGATCCTACTGCTCAAAAGACAAAGTTTGAGAACCACTGTCCATTTATCCCAAATACTGAGAAACTCAGTGGGATCACCAAGCTCACTGTCCCGGCACCAGTCAGCTGCTTCTCCGAGGAGCCCTGAGCACGTGAGCCTAACCCTCCTTTGGTTCACACACTAACAGGCTGTTGGTGTCTGTTATTCTGGATTTGTACGGTGATTTAGGTCTTCCACCTCTGACCACGAAAAAGTGACTTAAGAGAACTGGCTGTAAACCACTAAAATGAATAAAAGAGAGCTGTTTTGAAACGTTGGGACAGTAGACAGGGCAGGACCGTGGTCTCTGAGAGAAGGAAGCAAGTGGGGTGAGCCCCTTCTCGCCCGTGTGCCCGCCCAGGGTCAGGAGGGGTCCCAGGCAGCACAAGATGACCGCACTGCCTTGAAGGGATGGGATTGGGTTTCTGGAAGCCTGAGGGAGCTGGAATTAGTCGGAGATATGGCTGGGGAGCAGGGAGCCATGCTGAGAAAGAGCCCCTAAGACCTGGAGAGTGGACCGTGTCTGCGTGCACAGTACGAACAGTTGAGGCTGAGCTGGGAGTAACCACAGCCACAAGCTGAGCAGTTCCCAGAGCACAGGCCGGCCCATTTCCACGTCTGCATGCCACCAGTCAGACTAGAGGAGTTTTTGAGCATTTACAACAAAGAGGAGAGAACTCCAGGGTGGGGTGCCTGAGTATTTAGGCCACTCCAGACCCCGCTACCAGAGCTCAGACACTGCTCTCCAGAGAATCCTGCAGATCTACAAGGGGCACCCTGTGTGTCCTCCAGAGTGAGCTCAGTCTTCTAGGAGGAGAGCGAGAAGTTCAACATTCAGCAAGGGACATTCACAACATCCAGCATCCAATCTAGTAAAAA